TATCTATGTTTAATAGTTTAAACTATATAAAAATTGAATGTATGAAAGTCAGGGGCAATCTATAATGAGAAAACACTAATGATTATATATAGATGGTAGCTGGAATCATTAATTCTTACTCTATGATGAAATGTCAGATGATGAAAGGGTGTGATTTTGGGACCAAGCAACATTTGTGCAAGTGGGGGCCCTCTAGCCCCTCATCACCTGGAAAAGTACCCTTTACCTACTTCCTAGAGTAGGTAGATATTGAAGAAGAAATATATTCCAAGTTTACGCTGAGGTACCTGCCAGGATTTTTAAAATGTAAGAACCTTTTGACAGGCCCTCGAGTGGAACAATCTATCCTACCAAAATAGCTAACCATTATGTTTTATAATCAGGATTGCTGAAGTAAAATGTTTAATTCTGGTTGTTGCTGGAGGGGAAGACTTTTTAAAAGCAACTTATATAAACGCCTTACATTTCAATATTACCTTTCTTTAAAGAGCTCAATGTATCTTATGTGTTTCTTTAAAACATTCTGTGGCACAGAGCCAGCTATTGTTATCTCCATTTATAAACAGGGAATTTTAAGTTCATTTGCTTTAAATTACAGAGATTTATTAGTCAGGTTGGCTGGTTCCTCCTTTTTCCACTGTTCTCTGTTCAATGGGTGGTAGTGTTTCTGAAATTGTCATTTATCAAAACCCTAGAGGGATTATTATTCATAACTTTTGATATAAAGACTAAAAACTATCATTCTAATATTCCTCTAGAACCTTTGCCTGGGCAATGTGAAATATTTGAAAATACCAAGTTTTTATTTGCTCATGTAAGGAAGCTTCTCCTTTAATTTTCACAAGAGTGAACTGAGACCAGTTTAATTATTCCCAAAATAACTACAAGGTAGTTGTTGGCAATGGGGGTGGGGTGGGGGATTATTTTCTTAAACCCTGGACTCTCTTCCTGAGGAATATATACGTAAACAAAGATGTGACAGCTGATGTTCCACTTGCATTTTGCACAATATATGGTTTCTCTGGTTAAAAAGCCAATCATAAACAACAATACTACAGATTAATTTGCCCAGGCAGTCATGAATCTGAGATCAGGATGGCGGATAAAGATTTTAAAGAAATTTTAGACTGATTGGAATTTAAAAAAAAAGTAAATATTGACTGGGATGGAAACATTTCTTTAGGGAAGTCATTATTTTCCATTTAACCAGTGAATAAAATATATATTATGGCTATTGAACATATACAATAATTCAGCCACATCTTTTTCCAAAAATAGAAACAAGGAAACAAGCTTATAGATAGACAGAGATACATCCTGCTTGAAACTAGGTTTACTAACAAGAAAAATTAGGTCATGATTATGTTTCAAAAGATCTGTTTATTTTACGAAAGGAAGGAGGTATCTTCTGTAAGTCAAAGCAATCTGTGACTTGGTTTTGAGTCCTGGTTCTACCACCTTCTGTGTGTTTGCACAAATCACTTAGAAGCCTCATTTCCCTGTAATTCCAACTACTGATAGGGAAGGTTGGGCAATCCTACTTCTGTAATGATACTGCCTCGGAAACCCAAGGAGGAGTCGCTATGAGTCAGGGCCGACTCGATGGCATAACAACAACAACAACGACAACAACAACAACAGGGTTGCTGAGAGAGAGGTTTGCCTGAGAAAGCACACATTCAAATGTTTTTAAAATTGTTAAACAATATGCAAAAATGAGATAGGTTTTAAAAACAGAACCTGGTTCACAAAAATTTGTTTTTCACACTTTTTCATGAATTAATCTGTTCCGGAGAGGCTAAACCAATGTGCATGCTTTAATTACACTGTGTTGTACTGTATCTCAGATTTTTTATTCTGGTAAATTTACCAGTGGTGTTAAGTTTGACTTTCTCTGGTTGATTCTGATTAACCTAGTCACTGAGGATCACTATGACAACATTGTAGCTTTTCAGTCATTCAGTTCACTTGTCCAATGCATAATGTGCTTTCCAAAAGCAGATGATGATTTATGACTATCGAACATTAGGGAATAATTCAAATTAATATTGACTCAGGCAAACATTACACAAATCTGTTCTTCAAAGAAAGAGACTGGTGACATAGTGCCTAAGGCATTTGACTGCTAACCAGAAGGGTGGCAGTTCAAACCCAACAGCCACTCCTCAGAAGGAAGATTGGGCGTTCTACTTCCATAGTGATACCGCCTTGGAAACCCAAGGAAGGGTTGCTATGAGTCGGGTGCGACTCAATGGCAGTGAGTTTGGTTGTTTTTTTTTTTTTGTTTTTTCTTCTAAGAACACCATAGACATTTTATGGAGCCCATGTTAGGGGAAATGAAGTAGGTAGCTATAAAACAACTTTAAACTCTACCCTCTTTCCTCAAATAACCAATTCAAGTCAAAGTAATTGAAGGGTGGGAAGTGGTGGTGTTGGATTCCATAGTAGAAGAATTCCAAATGGCTCAGAAAACTGACGAGGTCTAGCCCTCAAAAGATAATATAACTTTTCTCTTTTCAAGTCTGAATGTTACATCTGAATTACATGATCCCTAAGCAAGCTGTTAGGAGAAAAATATCTTTCATCCTACACAGCTATGTAAGTATTATCCAAAATAATAAATTATTGTTAGGGTTTATAATGCTAAAGTGATTTCCATAATCACAATTTTTTTTCTATTTGTGGGTTTTGTGAGAAGCTAAATTAACTAATTGGTTCAACTTAATATTTATTATAGCAAATTGACATATTTTATTATGCCAATTTGATTCTATTCTGCTTCCATTACCATAAAACCCACTGCTGTCGAGTAGGATCCGACTCATAGCTATCCCTCCTTGGGTTTCTGAGGCAGTAGATTGCCCAATCTTCTGTCCGAGGAGTGGCTGGTGGGTTTGAACCGCCAGCCTTCTGGTTAGCAGTCATAGCCTTAGACACTATGCCACCAGAGCTGTCCTGTTACCATAGCACACTCTAAAAAAACAGC